GGTTCATTCTTTAATTGACTAGCATTGACAAAACGTTTACTACTAAATACTAAGTTACGTAACCTAATTTTAGGTACCTTATGCAGCTTAAAATATACCTCGGTGCATTATTCATGGTCTCCAGAAAATTGGATCTTGGGCTCCGGAGATACTTAGGGAACTCTAGAAAATCAATTATAAAATGAATGCATAGCGGGGTATTTGAGGTCGGTTTTGTTTTCCGTTACTAAAAAAATGGACATTTCTTTATGTGAAAAGTTTGCCAAGCGAGCAGGCGGTTCACCTAAAGTTAAGTGAATACCGCCGCCCGTGAACATCTGCTACACCCGAGGTTGCAGATGCGTTGACGGCCTTTTGAAAATTGGCATCTGACGGCATCCAATCAATCAAGATGTGGTTCACGTACGTTGCCATATAGAGCGTCCATTGTCCGTTTAGCCCAACATGGGGGGACATTCGCTGGTCGCGCGGGACTTTTTAAAGTGCACGTCCGACGAATGATAAAATCTCGTTGTCAATACAACTAGTTTTTAATTATTATTACCTTCATAGTCGCGAAATAATAATGTTCTATGGTATTTAGACCGATCGTCTATTCATTTATATGTATTTTGTATATGAAATGCTATATAATTAAATCAGCTGTAAGTTTACGTAGCAGTACTGCGGCATTGAGTATTTATTCAACACCTCAGTCAACAGTCTTCAATGTTGCACGAATGGGCAGGTCCGTCCGGGGAAGTACCACGACCTCACAGAAGACCGTCGTGTAGTAGAAATATTAATTATGCTTCTGCGTTTCGTCTGGTGAATGGAGGTGGCGGGGTCCACTGCTTTAAATCCCGGTTCCATCCCGGATAAGTTTCACAAAAGCATGACGAAGACCCCATCGTTTTATTAACAGTGGCAGGGCTGATGGAACTGATGCTTAGTTCGCTGATGCACGAATGGGCAGGTCCAATCTTACAGAAGACCGGGCGTGAAGTAAAGTATTATGCCTATGCGTTTCGTCCGGAGAGTCTTTCATCCGGAGAAGTTTTAAAAAAGGCTTAAGGAGACTCCATCGACAGACAGGGACTCTGGCTCTCCGTATCGACGCGATTTTTGCACACTTTCCCGTTAATGAGGGCGCTGGCTGCACACCGCTCGTGGCCCACTTCCACGGGTCGGCGTTACGCGTTTAATCGGCGCGTAGAGAGCAATTAGCGGCGGATCTAATTTCGAAAGTTACCGGGGCACGGCGCGAGATATCAACCCGTTGGCTTTTCTGCCATTTCCGTTTTCGCTATGTGATTTTTATTGATCAATTTATTTAAAATGTCTCTAAATATCGGTATTATGGCATAGTCTACCACGCGAGCCCATTCCAGATTGGCTGACTTCAAATATCTTCCAAAATTTTTTTTTATTTCGAAAATATCTAGGTTACCTTAAGAATTCACGTTGTTTTCTTTCTTACCAGAGCACGTGTTAAGTCGGCACTTAAAATTACCGTAATTCTTGCGACTGTGCTGGCACAGCCATCGAGTTGGCGTGGTCTTCAATGTCCCATTATTCAATGGATGTTTATTCAGTTTTAAGGCCATTAAAGGTTACACCGGGGTTTTGCCACAGTTAAGAAGTTCACTCACTAGGACGATTAACTCGCATGCACCAGGGGATTGGAACAACTTGCCCAATCTTTATAGGCAATTTCAATGTGGGTTATACGTGACTTGAATTCGAAGAAGGACCTCAGGATTCGGTAAAACATACGTACTTTGCAAATATTAAGCGCAATAAAATCCCCAGTGTAATTTCTTAAAAAAAATCAAAGTAATATTAATTGATTAATGTGATAATAATACGATGCAAAAATCATTTACGTTAAAATTAAACTTTTCTATTTTTAACATGTTTTCGAAATAAAATAACACATGACAACCCTACACATTGCCACAATGCCGTCAGCCGGAGCGCACTGCGTCTGCAATTTCTAAGACCGCGCCCGTAACCTGATCTTACCAGGAAGAAAAAACACTGCTCGGGTCCAATACGATGCGAAGGTCGCTGGTCGCGAGCGTCTGCACGACACAGTTATTCCACATGCATTTCTGTGGTTTAAATGCACAAAAAAAAAGTGCCCAAAATATTTAAATCCCCCACATTAAATACTTAAAAGATAAGCAGTTAATGATATACGACAATAAAATAAGTAGATAAAAAATTATATACATATGTAGTATATTTTGAACGGAAAAATATTACAAAAAAAGACAATATAAAAATATATACCTACATTTTTATAACTTCCTGTTTCTTGGTAATCCGCAATATTTTTAATAATTTATCAATATAAAAATTTATTTAAATATAATACACCCTGAACTTGCAAAGGACGTTCAGTCAGAATACTTGAATAATTAATTTAATAACTGTTTAATAAAACTAAATGAGAAATCCACCAAAAAGTGATATACTTAATAAAAAAAGGCGATAAAAATGCATAGTACTTCGTACTTAGCACAAATCCTAAATAGTTAAACTATCGTACCCGACACTAATTGCTACCGATAATAACCATCGGAACAGCAAAGCTATTAGGCGTAACGAAAGCATTTAATGCGTAATAGAATAAGGAAATTATTTATACACTTACCTTCAAAGCAGGGGGTAAGTTTGTCCACTAATACGGGGAAAATCCATTTCTGTCACATTCACTACACTGATTGTTATTATTTAATTATCGAACGTATGTTTAGCCAGTAGATTATTAAATTAAATTTAACAAATATTCAAATGCAAGGTAGTTCGAAAGTAATAACGTGAAACAACACTGCAAAAATGTTACGTACCTAGGTCGTTCTTCAAAATATAGGTGTTTATATTATACGAAACGAGAAACAATCATGCGTCGAAGATTGATACGATTAAATCATTAATTTAACTCACAGTTATCACATTACGTATAATTCATAAAGTTATGCATTTCATTTTGTCACAATATACACGTAATTGGAATAAACAAATTTTTGACACTAATTTTTACTATTGCCACTGCGTTGTACGTACTACACACAACGTAATCACCACCCGCGAGAGTCAACAACCGTTTGACAGGTCGTAGTAGCCTTGGCCCATGGACGCGGCGCCATTTTGTAACAAGTGTTACCACAGTCTATGTTTCCTAAGTCCTTAAAATAACGTATATAATACCTAATAAGATTATAATACATTCATTTTTAATTACATTCAATTTTATATACTGCATCTTAAAGCTGATATTTAAAAGTATTTTGTATTAATATAAATATTTATAAATAATTCAATATATTTATATTGAATTATTGCTATTTAGCACTTAGCTACTGCTATTTAGCAATCAGAGTCATCTTACGGTTTAATGTATTATTATGTAGACGTCTATTACGTATAAAGTTTTTGCAAGTAACTCACAGAGGGCAGAAAAATAAAAAGTGGAGTAACAAATGAAAAAATTAAATCATAGTTCATACACAGTTACACACTAAAGGCTAGAAAAATGTGATGTTTGTTTTTAGTTCTTATTACTATTAGTTAAAAGAAAAAGCGTTTCACGTTAAGTTGTTCTTACGGTTGCGGAATAGACATATTTTTACCTTCCTAACTAAAAATATCTGTGTATTGCATTTTCTTAAAAAGTACTGAATAGTTTTTTAATGTATAGTTGTCAAGTGAAAAGGGCGGTCATGGAAATTGAACATCCGATGGCTTGCTGATGCGCTGACACTCTTAAAGAAAGTGGTACCCGGTTACTTTTCTCACCACACGAAACACGAAAGTTTATTAGTTCAACTTCACGTAGGTCTTCTGTGTGGCCGGGGTACTTCCCCGGTCGCGCTTGCCCATTCCTGCAACAGCATAAGCTATTGCGTGGCCCAAAACAGTAAAATGCACTTTATAAAAAAATGCTCAGTTGATCTTTGAATTAAAACTAGTTAGGTAAGCGTAAATTAAACCATTTTATTTAAAAGAAACAGCCAGGATAAGACTATGACTAAAACCATATAGATTATATTATTTAGAACAAATCGAACAATCGCAATAAACATAAAAATAGTTACGCACTTATTACAGTGATTTATTTACCGTAAAACATGTAGATAGTAGTATGTGTAATCATAAAATGTAAATATATCTCTTTAATGATCTATATTAACGTTTAAGGCTATAATTATTGTAACAAAATAACAAATAATTAGCTGACTAGACTGCAATTAATAAACATTAACATTGTCTAACAAAACATAGTAAATGACTAGAATACTGTAGTGAAGTTGGTTTAATAGCCTATGGTGTATTAAATACAAAACATATTTTCATATATAATTAAAAATGCAACAAAAATCTGGACTGTTAATTATAGAATGAATCTTTTAACCGCCACACGCAGATAATCAGTTAGCAACATAAGTACGATTAAATTATACATCCTTACTAATATTATAAAGGCGAAAGTTTGTATGTATGAATAGATGTTTGTTACTCTTCAAATACCACTGAATGGATTTTAATGAAACTTTACAATAATATAGCTTATACATCGAAATAAGACATAGGCTAAAATCTATATACACCTTATGTATATCTGTCTTTCTGACTGAATGTTACGCCTTCAGCCTATTCTACGTAGACGTAGTCGCGGACAGCAGCTAGTAGTTTCTTATTATGGAATGTTAAATCTTTCGGACTTATTATAAAGATTATTTAAAAATATATTAACTAAACCTTAAATATAACTGAAATCTCTGAATGCCGTAAGACTATAATTTCATGAAACAAGTGAAATAATAATCGCAATGAAAATATCTCAGCAGGAACTTATATAAACGTTAATAAATATAAAGCGACAAATTTTATCTGACTAGAATATAATACTGAAATCTTAAATATCAGATGGCGTGATAACCAAAGAAATTTTACGACTTTCGGATCGAATACGATCGAAGGTAAATATCGTAACGAAGAAAAAACACAGGTCAATTGATGACGAGGGCCATCAGCTTTGAGGACTTCGTGTCTTCCTCGACCCCTGGAAACTCGAAGCCTTTTCGTGCCAACTCTTCGTAGGTGATCTCAAAGAGGTCCACGAAGCCCGCCTTTTTGGCGACGGCCTGGGACGCCGCAGCAGTGAACACGGTGGCCGTGACCTTAATACCCAGTGCCTTGCACAGTGGGACCCTGTAAATGTTGAGGTCAAATTTGAAGCGTAATAACTCACTGTAAATTAACTCGAGCAACTTGTGTTCTATTACCGGTGCCGGCACCAAAGAAATTGTTAATTATAATTTGAAGCCACGACTTATCATGTGATCATAAGCACAAATATTGAAGAATAAGAATATGTGTAATTTGGGTAATCTGTGAGCTATGAAGAGGCTTAGGTTAGCCAGTTAGATAATTATTGTCTTAGCCAGTTTTATTTTAGGCGGTAACCTTTTCTGTGCGTACATTTTCACTATTATGTCGTTGTTCTGTTTTCTTTTCTCTTTTTTTATTTTAATATAATGTGCCAGTTAAACATTTCTTTCTTTCTTCTTTCTTTCAAGGACCAGCTTAGCAAAAGATTGCAGTGTTAGGGACTTTTTAACGTTTGGCTTAGCTGAACTCGGGTTTGTTTAACCGTGCAATCAGGCTTCTGAAACAATTTCAACAACATACCCCTATCTATAATAAATACAAGGAACATTTTCGCGTTTGGAAGTTTATGTAAGCTTTGCAAAACGTCAAAAGCACCTACAATCATAAGTAAAAAGACACAGTTCTTGCTGTTGTTTTACATATTTAAAAGGGCAACATAATTATAGGAACACGGAATAAATTTAAAAACAAAATATTCCTTCTAAATATTCGTTTATAACTTTTGATATTAATTCTTGATAAATATTCAGTAGCAGGTTGTTACAGGAGGTAAGATGTTTTTGGTTTCGGGCAACCGGTTCCTTTTGATGTGATAGATCGGTTGAGCGTATCCTAAATCCGATTCGCAGTAGTAAAAATGTTTACTTCTATCCGCCGGATAATACGCCGCGAACAGACTCCCGTCGACCTCATAAATTTTGACGTCGATATTTTTCTGAATCAGCGCACCGCTCAACAGCATCCTCTGTAGCACCTCACAACTTCTAGCACCTATTTGATTACCCCAAATGTTCAAGAATCTAAGAATGTACTTCTTTTTGATCGTATTTAACAGATCCAAAACGCCGCAATCCGACAGTCTGTTTTTGGAGATATCCAGCGCTCTAATTTTTGAATACGGCAAGCCGAAACTCAACGCCTAGCCCCGATATCTCCAATGTCGTTACCGGCAACATTTATAACCAACAACTGGGGATTCCCCGACAGATATTTGGCCAGCAGCTCCGCCCCGTAGTCGCCTATCCTATTAAAGCCGAGATCTAGGTGGAGCAATGTCTTATTTTTGTATAGGCCCCTGATCAGATACTCCGTATCGTGCGCTATAAGTTGGCACTTCTGTAAATGCAGTTCGGTCACAACGGAGTTTCTCTCCAGTAACAGTTCTATATGATACGCGAGCCATTTGCTTTCGTACGGGTAGCGATCGAGCAGTGGTACCAGTCTGCTTAAATCGAGAATCTTAACAGTCGTATTCCCGTCGTCATCGCTCCTAAAGGCCGCCACGATCTCCGCAAGACTGGTCAGCGTCTGACTGGTCTCGCCCAAATCGCAACACTCTATAGTGTCGTTCCCTCTGAAGAGCTTCGCAAAGAATGTACCGCTCTCCGTTCCCAAGTCGTTGCCGTTCATCCTCAGCTTCCTCAACTTGATATACTTCGCGTACTCCGCTAGGGACTCCGCAGACTTGAAAGTTAAATTGTTGTTCATTATGTTCAGCTCTGTCACGCTCGACCTGCCCTTTATCAGCAGTCGTTTCAACAGTTTGGAGAACCCGATATCGGTTATTTCGTTGTAACACAAATCTATTATCGTTATTCGTCTCGGCGCTTCCCTGACGTACCGGTAAATGGCGGTTATGTCCGAATCGCGAATTCGTCTCTTGTATCGATCGTATATATCTTTCCCTCGCAGGACTAAATGTCCACTGCCGTCTGAGTTCCGTTCGGTGAACAGATTTAGGCGTATTTTGTTTATCTCCGTCACTGGCAACGGTTGTGGGTTACCCGTTATCCTCTTCAACAGCTCCTTCTTATCACAAATGCATTTACATTTTCTCTTCCTCGCTGTCTTCTTTGTTACCATGTTTGCGTGTTATATACTACGGAGATACGTTTCGGTTTTATAAGAAATTTGATTATAAAGTGTATAACAATATAAAATTTTAAACGTCACTTATCTGTCACGTTTTGAAGGACGAAAATCTTTTGATACCATCAATATAGTCGAGAAGCAAACATAATTGTGCATTTATAATAATTATTTTAGTTTTATTATTTCATTTCGTTTAGATAATAAGGTCTAATTGAACAATATTCATAATCGAAATATTTAACTGCTGTCTATTTCCAGTCAAGTTCAAGATTTTTAATTAATTTTTTTATATTTAACGATAAAAAAAAATCTATAGCCGTATTGCCGTAATTTGACTGAGTAGAATGAATGAACTTTCTAGAATGGGTAAAAAATTTGACACAACATCTAAACAAATATTAGCAAATGTATAAGCTTAAAAGCCATAAAACAAAGGGAACTCCGCAAATAATGGAGATAAATAGAAACACCATTAAAAGTTTGTTTCGTATACAACTTGCAACCTAATCTTGTTGAGGGACCGACGGATTATTTTGCTTCATGGTTTTGTGGTTTTATACAATTTTAGCTCTTTAAGGGAAAACGTTTTTACAGCCGTACACTAAGTTGATTGAAATTACCTGATGCATTTAAATTAGATGTATCAAGGTTTATATTTGTACTTCTATAGTAGCAAGGACTTTTTCTGAACAGAGGGCAAATGAATAATAATGAAAATGTAATGTGTATGTACCATTACTCTGACGTAGGTATAGTACTAGCACTATTTCTCTCTTAAAATAAACTATTCGAGAACAATAATCTAGGCAACATGTAAGAAGTATAAAAAACTGGCCTAGTACGAGTCAGACTCGCGCACGAAGGGTTCCGTACATATATCTATAAAAACTGCAAAAAAAAAAAAAAAAAATCACTGCAAGTATTTGTTGTTATAGCGGCAACAGAAATATATCATTTAGGAAAATTTCAACTGTCTAACTTTCACGGTTCCTGAGATACAGCCTGGTGACAGACGGACAGACAGACAGCGAAGTCTTAGCAATAGGGTCCCGTTTTACCCTTTGGGTGCGGAACCCTAACAAGATGGCGCACGTTCGATTAGTTACATCTCCATAATGTTACATTCCATATGTGGAACAGTGGTAGAGTGGCCACGCAAGAGTTTCTGTTTTAGCAGAAACGACTAGGGTCATCCGGGTAAGTACCACAGACAACATCCTATTACGTTGTAGTTAGTGCAACACATCCGCTACTTGTTCTGGGTTATAGTAATTAACTGTCATAGGGCTACGCAACAGACTTTGTTGTTGCACGAATGGGCAGGTCCGTCTGGGGAAATACCACGACCTCACAGAAGTAAGTTATACTTCCACGTCACATCTGTTAAGTGAGGTAGTCGGAGCCCGCTTTAGTAGTAGGTGGCAACGCGCCTGCAATCCTAGCGGTGTTGCAAATGTCCATGGGCGGCGGTTATCACTTAGCATCAGGTAAATCGCCAGATCTCTCGTAAAAGATACCTACGCGCAGCACCAGAAGAATATAAGTGTATATGTATATAAATTTAATTGATAAGCCAGAATAAATTAATAAATGGACTATATTTAGTCATGCACAACAAAGTCTTCGAATTAATTTTATTAAGGGACTTCGATTAGGCGTCTTATTAGAATTCGTCTCTAACACTCCAAGGCATTCTCTGTCAGATGTCTCTAATAATGGAGGAAGACGCTTCGTATGGAATGTCTGGAATTCTTTCATCTGACGCCGGAGAAATTCCCGAGTTAGCGCCGACTTATTAAATATTGGAAATTGCACGGCCGTGAGCAGTTATTTTCCCTCCTTTTGTTATCATGGCCCGTTTTATTATTATAAATTCCAGCAGATGAGCTATTTATATTAATGGAGAAAATCAATTGCTCCAGCTCTTTATATTAATGGAGAAATCAATCAATTCAGTGACATTCTTATCACATCTAATCCGAATTCAGTGTTGATAAATCGTAATGATTTAATGTCTGACTGAAGACTAAAGAAGTTTGTGTTGATCACTATTCAGAGTGCTTGATAACTTCAAAACATGACAGGTGATAAGCTTGACGCTGTGCTGAGGATGCACATGTAACATGAAATAATCCGAATAAAGGGATAGCTTAGCAGATTCGTTTCGAGCTATCGAAGCAAAACAATAACAGTAATTCCATCTTTTCGGGATGTCTGTCGATTTCAATTTGAAGTTGCAACGGGCAATTCAAATAGAAAATTGTTCTACAAACTTTGCACATAGCAAGTTCGAGAAAACAAGTCTGTGGTGACAACATAGAGGCGCTTAAAGTTGGACTGGCCATTAAAAAAAACCTTTCCTTTGTATTGTATTTTCTTCCTTTCTTTCAGTTACTGTATAACATAGACAGAAAAAAACTAACCCCTCAAAGTGTCGAAAACCTTTGAATGGTGGAAGTTAACCGAAACTGTTTGGCTTAGTTTAACTTACCGCGCCTTCAGTATCTCCTTTCCGATGTTGCAGCCCCTCCACTCTGGTGCCACCACCAGCCCGTAAGCGGTCAGGTACTTGTCCACGCCGTACTTCTGGAACAGGTCCACGCTGCGAGCCACCAGGTCCACAGCGCCGAAAAGCTTCGCCCAGATCCTGTCCTCCGTCTGCAATATTCATATATATTATTCTGGTCATGGAGATTTTTCTGGTGGTAGGGCCACGCAGCAGCCTCAGCTGCAGGCTCATCCGGGTAAGTACCACGACCTGACAGAAGGCCGGCGTAAAGTGGAAGTATAATACTTTCGCGTTTCATCTGGTGAGTGAGGTGGCCGGAGCCCAATTTTCAAAAGGCTGACAACGCATCTGGAACCCTCGGGTGTAGCAGATGTCCATGGGCGGCGGTATTCACTTAACATGAGGTCGCTCGCTTGGCAACTTAAAAAAAAAAGATTTTATAGTACGTACCAGATGGCAACATTTGGGGTGGGCCCCAAATAGACAATGATGCATTAAGTGTTTTTATAGTTTTCTTTTTCTATTTTACAGAAATTTATATAAAATATTTTTATCATTGTAGAAAAGTTTCGGCTGTACGCGATTGTAGCAAAAATTAATATTTGCGACAGTTTATATACAAAAAAAACATTATTAGTTTAAAATTTCATCATCAGTGTTGTTTTAAGTGCAGAGGCTTAACTAAAACGAAACCTTAGTAAAAAGTTAACGGGACCAAAAATGTATCTGAAATATGTTAATATTATCAAATATAAGGAAAATAACTTATATACACCCAAAAGTCGGGTTTATATCAATGATATTTTTTTTATGTGTGAAGATTGCACCCTTTTGGCTTGGCAATTCAGGTTTTTTGTATTTTAATCTCTGTTTTCAAAGAGTACGTCTCTGGGTTCAATTCATAGATGAGATACACATTTATATGATGACTAACGTGACTGCTTTCGAAGCAAACACGGTGCTCAACTCCATCATCGTCAACTACCACTGGTTCTGGAGTGTGCCTTTTTGCAATTTGCGTACGTACATTCGTTTATCTACGGCATAAAGTATATTCATTTATCTACGAAACAAAATAATATGTAGTACCCAATAGTGTTGTTATAATATTACACAATTTAATACTGTTTTGTGTTCTAATAGAAAAAAAATCTGACTCTGTGAACATTGTATCGAAGTCTACCTAGTTGAAATCACCTAGATCGCGGGAAATTGTTAACATCAGCTCAGTGGATTCATAGAAATATCAAAAAACTTTTTATTTTTTTTTTATGTGAGAAAGTGGCAAACGAGCTAGCGGTTCACCTGATGTTAAGTGATAACCTCCGCCCATGGAACCTTTAAATAAAGTGGGCCCCGGCTACCTCAATCACCAGACGAAAGGCAGAAGTGCAACATTTCTACGGGCCTTCTACGGACCGTGGTACTTACCCGGACGGATCCGCCCATGGTCCTACCACAGTAAAATATCCGCCATAGACACCTTCTAGTCGAGTTGTGATTAATGATGAACCACCATCATGTAACATCGACTTTACTGGCGTCATTACTCCAACCTTACCTTGAAGGGTTCTTCCTTGTCGTCCTTGCAGGCGACCGTGAGCACGTTGACCCCGACCAGCGACGAGGTTCCGTCATCCTTGTCCTCCACGCACACCAGCGACAGCCTGTCCGCCACAGTCTTCCGCCACAAGCCCTCAAGCTCCGCCACAGCCGTTGGGTATTTGTTAATGCCTGCGGTGCGCACTTACGATAGATTAAGGGCCGCAGTGAGGTAAATAAATATAGAAAATGTTGTTTTTTATTTGTCGGTTGACTGTTGATTTTTTTTTACATTTATAGCGTTAGCATAACATAGCCGTTAGTAGGAATAGTAAACATGAGTAATAATTGCCCTGCTGATATAGTTATAGTCTTCGGGTCGTGGATTGAATTTCGAATCGAGACAAGTTTAGTATTTGCATGATGTACAAATAACTGTACCAAATCTGGTAGTGCACGTGTCAGCACAGATAATTAATGAAATACTCGAAACGTAGCTTGCTTCTGCTCATACATACGTTCTGAAACAGCGAACAGAATGAGATTTTATTTATGTGAATAGTTGTCATGCCAGCAGGCGGCTCGACCTGACGGCTTGATGCATTGACAACCTTTTAAAAAGTGGGCCCCGATTACCTCACCCACTAGTCGACTCGAAACTATGATACTTTCACTTCAAGGTTCTGTGAGTCCGTGGTACTTCCAAGAGACTGCTCATTCGCGCAGAAGAAGCTATATGGCTTTTTTTCTGTGGGAGAACTCCTCTGTGGATCCCCTGCCACTGGATCGGGGAAGTGACAGGGGTATGTGAGAGTCCTGCAAATGGGCTCCTACTAAAAACCAACGTTGCACCTGTCTCTGTCGCATTGGCCGGGTCCGGGCTTCTCTAAATGGTGGTGTGCAAAAGCTGCATGGCAGAGATAGTGAACTCGCCTATGTACTTGCAGGGCGGCTCGTCCCTCGTGAAGTGTTTGGAGAGCAGGGCGAGCGCTTCCTCCTGCTTGTCCTCCGTCAGGTCCTGGACGCGGAGGCTGGCGGTGGTGCCTTGGCGGCGCACGGTGAAACGGTGCCACACCGTTGGGTAGGCTACCGAAGAGGGTCTCGTGAACACCATCTAAGAAGAAAAGAGACCGTTACTGTCGTGATCAGCTACGAAGCTTACAAAGACGTCTTGCGTTTTTGAATTTAAAGTTTAGAAATCATCCGTATAATATTTAGTATCAATTTCCCTTGACGTGATTGATTTATTGACTTTTAAAAATCCGAATTTATTTATTTCTGAAGCGATCCCATATTCCTCGCAATGGAACAACTAGCCGTCATATTTTGCAGCAAACTCATCATTATATTTAATATATTAAAAAACTCGATTATTAACACGGGAATAAAATGTATTGTAAAACAAAATCATTCAAATGCTTTATCGCAACACATACTTGTCAAAGGTAAAGGCTAAAATTTAAGTTTGATACAAGTTTTATAAACATTATACATATCCTATATCACATCTGCACACGAAACGCTTTATGAATAAATTCGAAAATATATATTTCCTCATACGTCCAGGTCGAACTCACCCCTCGAGTTTTGAACCCTTGATAGATTTATCCAAACGCACTGTGCCTATGGCTCCCGGACACGTCAAATTGGCGACAACACCGTTGACTAACTGTGCCCGGTGGCGGCTGGGAACGAGCGGATAATCTAGGGGCGGTTTCCGGATGGGGACACACCAGGATAATTTTTAATCATTGTTTTAATTCAAAAAAATATTACCCCGGTTTTAGGATAACATCATGCTGCGCAATAGTCCATCAATCAGCTGTGAATTCGCGTGGTGGTCTATGCCATCATACTCTCTACACAGAGGACCGCTTTTCCCACCACAGGAACTTGTTTAGGCTATTACTTTCCTTTTGCTTTTTTTATGTTCCGTAAACGATTCAGAGCCGTGATAGCTCAGTGTCCGGGCGCTCGCCTTTAATTCAATATACTCGAGCAACCTGAGTTCGATCCCCGGTGCCGGCACCAATGAAGTTTTTAACTTTAAGTGCTGACTTATCACGTGCTCCGCAGTGAAGGAAAACATCGTGAGGAAACCTGCATATTTTCGAAATAATAACAAAAAAAATATTTCGAAGATATGTGAAGTCCGCCAATCCGCAGTGGGGCCGCGTGGTGGACTATGCCCTGATACCCTCTATATAGAGGAGGCCTTTGCCCAGCAGTGGGACATGTATAGGCTGTTACTTTACTTTTTTACTTTTAAACGATTTTTACATTCGACAATTCCGCATGGATAAACATAGTTTGAAGATATTCCAAGCAATCGAGTCAGGACTCGCGTCGTCTAAGCCAACCCTTTGAATGCGCATCTACGAAAAAACTTGACAAATAAGCTTAACACGCGAAAATTATGTAAGCTTTAATGTCTAAAATTGAACATAAAATTTTGGCCTATAAATACACATTAATAAATTTCATGAATACTTATTTTAGACTTGCATTTTCTTTCATTATGTTATAAATAATAATAATAAATATTTCAGGACACCGTTTTATACACAAAGTACAAACTAAGCAACGCTTGTACAATAGTTAAAGACGAAACTTGATAACTGATAAATATACTTAAACATACTTTTATTATGTAAATAAATACATATTATAATAAATAAATAAAACCCAGACACTTGAAAAACACTTTGTTCATCACATAATATTTTTCTACTTGTGGGGATCGAACCCACACCCTCTAGCACAAGAGACATATTCACTATCCACTAAGCTAATCGCATCGTCAAGAGTTTTGAATCATCTTATCAATTATGACTTTAAGTAGATATTTAAAAAGTTAATCAAACACCAGACTCCATACATCCAGTACTCCTGTGTAATTCTCAGATCTACTGACAACTATTAAAACTAGTTACACGAATAATATCTATACGGATATCCTTTTCTTGGAATTTGAAATAAAAAAATTAAATGCTCATGTATATTCGAAAGTAATAGTGCAATATTAATAAAATATCTATCTCCTGGTGTGTCACCCTCTTCACGGGGTGCCGCCATAAGCCAATCTAATCCTTTAAACCGCATTTGAATCCCCTTTACCTTCGTTTGCGGCGTCGTTATACGTGATCTTGTCGCGAGCATTTCTTGAGATATAATAAATATTTAGAGTGAATATCATTTGACTATGGCAGAGCACTTCCCAACCAAGAGTCCGTGGACCCATTCTGGTTTGTGGTCCCAGGCAAGCAAGCACTAAAAACATAAATATATATAGAAATGAAAATTATGAATGCATAATGGTGGGGCATTTCAAGGATACTTTCCATGCATACATATTTAAATGACATTGACATCAATTAACAGACGCACAACCGTCATGTTCTGTTTGTGAATAGATGGTGTGTAACTTCCTTAGCACCTTACCCAACTATCTGGTCACCATGCCAAGGACAGTGTCACCAGCCTGGGCGTTTAGGAATTGACCGTGGGCATGCAGCATGATGCCATTGCCTTGCTCTCGGACCTTTAATACATTACATCTATGCTATAACAGCAACACCGTATTTAAAAAAATACAATGTTATTCCACCAATATAAAGTAAAATAAACAGACTTATATACGAATCTAACTAATAAAGTGTGATTATCAAAAGTGGGATCGTGGGATAGGCTGGGATTTTAATCCCTGCTTATCCTACGATGCTTTGGAAGACTTTTGGCTTCAGTGAAATTGGAAATTTTAGTTCAGTGATATTATGCCTAATTAGGAGACAATTTCTGGATCCGATTTTTCAAGTGCTTGAGTACCATCCAATTTCAAGTAAAGGGAAAATTTAGAAAGTGTTACCAGAAGTAATGCAAAAGTTTAAAAACTACTACGTAACAATGATCCGAAAGTTAATTTTGCGTGTCTAAGGCGTCCTCTACCAACTCACACACTCACTGCAGTGGCATGTAAATAACCGATACATTCCACACGACACAATTGACAACTCTTTATTAATTATATAGTTTCACCTTAAATTCTCTCTCTAATTCATTCAATGTAACAGTTCGACTCTGAAAATCTCTCCCTTTTCACATTCAAAATTCCTCTAATTAAGCGTTTAAGTACAAACTAAGGGAACTTTTAATTTGTTACAATTAATAATTTGGTACATAAAGCTCGTAGTTTCTATTGCATGTATTTTTTACCCATGTGTTACGCTCTCCCACTGTTCGAACCAATCTTTAACCTAATTATTTATATAGTTATTTTATTCTGTTGAAAATCATCATAATTAGCTCTTTTCAATCTATCAATCAGAGATATTTGACGCTGTTGTCTTTACAACACAGGATAATGTTATCCTACAGTAAGAGCAGTGTTAAAAAAACATTGAGTTTAGATTTTATCTTCGAGAGTACAATCAGCTGTTAGCTAGAGAAATTAGAGTTAAACTCGTTAATTATCATGAAATTAAATAAATCTAATCTTTTTATCTCGGTTTTATATTAATATTTTTTCCACTATGTTGTCTATTAGTAATATATTTTTTCTACCTGCGTCCACAACAGACGCGTTTACTCTAAGATTCAACGCATGGTTTGTACTTCGTACTTGGCAAGACGCCATCTTGGCTTCCCTCCAGGATGTCTGTTGCAGCATCACGTCTGAAAACAGTTCACTTTCGACTAGAAACCTGAACAGACGTTAAAGTTTTCTGTTGTAATATCAACAAGGAATAAAATAATAACAATAGCGATTTCAAACAGCGGACATCGATAGGTTCGACTCTTTAATTGTTGCGTTGTTTCTGCGTTAAGGCGGGAAATTTGAAAAACGCGCGTTTTCACTGCAAGAGACAAAGGCATTGTGTTCTTCTTCCTCTTGCAAACACTTCAGGAGTTCGATTTTGTTAAGTAAAAAGGTAAGGTCTTATCTATAGATGTTTTTATCTAGAACTATATGCTTAATTATACATGAATATCAAATTTCAAAGAAGTGAAATTTAAAAAAAACTAAAAGATGTTTATGAAACGAAATAAGCTGCTCTTATTTCGCAAATACCTAGGGTGAAATACATTTTATTAATATATCGCAATTAAATGATATTGAAATACAAATGGGATATTAATATTAATGTCGCCCATATTTTGTCCAATTTATTTTATATCTGATTCTTTGTCCACCATGTTTTGATTAAAATATATATCATGTCTTTACTTGATTACTAAACATTATTAAATTAAAATATTAACTCATTTTCAAAATAACATATAAAAACATTATAAACTATTAATATAACATTGATTGATGTTTGAAATATGTTCATTTAACAAACTAGATTATTGATCATTGAGAACCACTAAATGTAACAGTAAAATTCTTGATAAATTTCAATAATAAAATTATGTTAACATATCCTCATTCTCTTAATCCATACACCTCATCAAACATCAAGGAATTATAAGGTAGGTAAGCTTCTTTTTGTACTTATTTATGTTGTCAGATATAGAACCAATGATATTATGTACAAATACGAGGGACTAGATGTCACACTAGCGTACCGACACTAAGGCACTCAAAATACGCCATTCGGTATAATCAGATTGCATTTCTATAGACTGCTATCTCTTTTCGTAACATACGTTCTATATCAACTGTGACATTCACATAAATATGTCATCTAATGTAAAAAAGAACATTTTTAAACGCTGCGCAGTATGGATATGCGTGATTTGGAACCAAGAAAATAGCAGATGAACACAATTCTGCTTAAACAATGGTGGCGCAGTATTTTTAAGGCCATCTAACATCCATAAAACGATTCGCAGTTGCCTTAATGTTGCGAGTCCATAAATAGCAGTAAATAAAACGTCATCTCGGAGGCCAAGATCGGACCGAAACAAAATGGAGTTCCTTGCCGCGTGGGCGCTTGTTTGTAAACTGACGCGTATTGACTGGGAGATTCAAGCGAATTGTTTACCCCTTTTGAAAGCATTGGGACATTCGAAATAAAATATTGATGTTTTTTTAAGTTATTAGGACGTGCCGTGTTTTATTATAATAAACAGATCGTAATTGAGATCGTTAAGAGAAAAGCACTTCTTTTATATATATAAAGCGAGCATCTTAGAACGGTAATTTACAACAATGTTTACATATTATTAACTAGCTTTTCCCCCGCGGCTTCGCTCGCGTTGAAGCCCTTAAATAAATATCTTTCAACCCTTTACAACACTTTTCCAATTAAAAAGTAGCCTATGTCCTTTCTCAGGCTCTAAACTATCTGTTTATCAAATTTCATTTAAATCGGTTCAGTAGTTTTGGAGTGAAAGCGAGACAGACAGAGTTACTTTCGCATTTGTAATATTAGTATGGATTAAATTTAAGACAAGCCATTCAAGTCCATCAAATATATAGAGACATATATGACTATGTCGTAAATATTAATACTTTTAACTTTTTTTATTTAAAATTTTCTTTTCCTAAACGTAAACGAATGATACTAATCTAATTTTCCAAATTTTAAGTAGTGATTGGATTTAAAACAAAAAGCTATTTCATATTTATATTCGGGGGCATATAAAGTTTTATTCTACCGTTAATTTTTTAATTTACAATTGTGCAACAAAAATGATTTCGCCCAACGTGGGGCTCGAACCCACGACCCTGAGATTAAGAGTCTCATGCTCTACCGACTGAGCTAGCCGGGCTGATAAATGAAGCATCAAATCATTGATATAATTCTAATATCACTTTTATTTAAAATCGATTCTGAATTTGAAATGTAAAACATATATTTTATCATAAACTTATTATAAGGCATACGGTTTCATAAATAAATTGCCTTTTATCACACACAATTTTCAGCAAGTGTTGCACTGAAGAAAGCTATAATCCTGAATCAGTCTTCGACAGTAATCATGTTCTTAGAACGTTATCCATTCTGTTTAACTAGTACTACCTTTGGACAATTCGATCAATTTCTTTTCTAATTACATAAAGTTCAATCATCATTCAAGTATGAATATTATCGTTTATATAAAGTAGGGGCAGTAAAATCTAAATATTTTTGTAACAAGAATTGAAATCTTTAAATTCATTGCTTTCTTGCATAATAATTTCATCTAGATTAGAAAAACAAAAAATAAAAAATCCTTGTATTGTAACTAGTTATGAGATGATTTTCTAAATTTCTTCGTCATTTTGTCATTTAAATTCGAAATTTCCCGATATCAAGGTCGAGGGCAAAGCTCCCACGCTTGACTAAAAATAACGTTTTTCCTTCCACCATCTTGAGAAGATTTAGATTCGAGACGATTTAAATTTTTGCCCTTATATTTATCGCAGCAAAAATTTATTTCGAATGTCGCCTTGATTTACTTTAAAGTTAATATGTACGTATATGAACCGTGTGACATTGCATATATTTTCAGTGGTCGACGAATGATAGCTCTTTCTATATTAAATAAATTATCGGTATATTAAATATAGGTTGAAATTAGAACCATAATCTACACTTTTAGTTCTAATAGTTATTGGAAACACTATTAAATATGATTAAATGAAATGTATCGATACTTATGAGAATAGGTCTTTATCGATACCGTACAGACAGCTTGCCATGTTGAAATCGTTTTGAATGTTACGTAATATCATTCAAGGCCTTGTAACTATTATTTTGTGTCAATGTATCCATGACGACTACACCGCTAAATTTGGCAGGGGGAACAGACGTAAAGTCGACGTCCTAATTAAAGTACTTATATCATCTCTAGCCGTTTCTATCATAGAAAAAAAATAAGACTACCCTGAGATTTTAGTTGAGTTAAGCGATTTAATTTTTTTACGATCCGCACAAACTTAAAAGAATCAAGGAGAGAATTTTTGGTGCGAAATTGAATGGAAAATCAAGAAAATCAAGAAATACATATAAAAGTAAAGTAACAGCCTATACATGTCCCACTGCTGGGCAAAGGCCTCCTCTATATAGAGGGTATCAGGGCATAGTCCACCACGCGGCCCCACTGCGGATTGGCGGACTTCACATATCTTCGAAATATTTTTTTGTTATTATTTCGAAAATATGCAGGTTTCCTCACGATGTTTTCCTGCACCGCGGAGCACGTGATAATTCAGCATTTAAAGTTAAAAACTTCGTTGGTGCCGGCACCGGGGATCGAACTCAGGTTGCTCGAGTATATTGAATTAAAGGCGAGCGCCCGGACACTGATCTA